GATTTAAAAATATATATAAAAATGGGGAATATCGCACTTCTGACAATCGCTGCAACTGTGTGGGCTAAATTTGAAGAATCCGTGCTTCTCGCATGGACAACTGTATGTGGCCAGCTCACACGTCGGAAAACCTTCCGATTTATTCGTGTACGCACCAGTTGGAAAAACAAAAAATATCGTGTATCCACAAACACTCCAATAAATAAATAGAATTGAAACGACACTTTGAAATGTTTTCCCGATGAAAACGAATAATAATAATAAGTTTCAATAAAAATGATAAAATGAAAATTTAATTTTATCATAACGAGTTTGCTTGAATTTCATTTCTTCTGAGATCGCAGCAATGCGCGACGGGTAAGCTAGTATTTTATAAAACTGACCAATACCCCAAGAATAAAACTTTTTGCCATTCGATAATAATTAAAAATATAGAAAGTTTTAATAACAAAATCTCATAACAGATGGTGCCACACACAATTTTATTTATTATATTGTAATTAAAAGTGTAAAGTTTATTTTAAAAATAAAATCTCATAACAGCCGGGAAAGTTATGTAACTTGTTGCTAAATTTATTTATAGCAGTTATAAATAAACATTTTTGTATGTGTTCGAGATTAAGAAATTAAAGATGTTATGATTATTAAAATATACTTATTTTAATTAAATATGTTATACAGTATTAATTCTATTTTACATCTTTAAAACAACCGTTTAACATCCAATGATAACCGGCAGCTTGTAAGTAAAGAATTTCTATGAGATTTGTCTTATTTTCCTGTCTGTTATGTACAGTACATACATAAGAAGAGGAAGTATTGAAGTAGTGTCAAACATGGGGTTTTATGCTCTCTATGCTTTGAGACCTCTATAAACTCGAAAAAGTCAAAAGAAACGGGGGAAAAATTCCGTAAATGTGTGTGTCTATTCTGTTTAATATTTCAGTATGAGGTAAAGATTAAGAAACGAAATTTGGCATAATAGCTAGTGTTTAAGGAGCATTGTCGCTATTAAATTTTGGTGGTTAAAGGTCGAGGGAGCTAGGGGATAAAGGGCTGTCACGCTATCATATCAGACTTAAATAAAGATTTTACTCGTTATTGATAATATTGATATATTAAATACAACAGTAAGGTATAATATCTACTTCCTAAAGGATAAGTATAACACATGGATAAAATGAAATAAATAATATAAATAAAATAAAATAAATTGTAGACCATAAAGTTGGAAGGAAACTAGGTTTGGTTTGGTTTATTTGTTTACGGCAACGTGTACATTTGCCTCCAGGGAGGACTTTCTATGGAAAACTGGCCCTTATTTAGGTGTTACAAACCTAAAAAAACCCAGAAAACTCCAAGTAGCTAGCCGGTTGGACAGGCGCAAACCCACGACTAGCATTCAGTGGTTTTATTCATTCGGCCATTGGTGGGTAGGAAAATTAGGAGTTTCCACGTGGTAATCCCATAGATACTTCATTTTCTTCTAATCTTATCGCTTACAGTTTATTTCGTGGTTTGTTTAATTTTATTTATAACTAGCTGCAAGGACCCGCTTCGCTGGGTTTTTATTTGTTCGTACATTTGTATGTAATATAGTTTTTTTATATATATAAAAGACTGTTTTTCTAAAGGCTGGTATACACGGTAAGGAAATCCTTTGAGGATTAACCGTGATTTTTTTTCTATCTATCCATTTTTAAATAAAAATAATTCTTTATACGTTGGGAGATATTTTAATAAGTTTTGTAAATTACTATGTTCGATCCAGCCAGTTATATCCGAGTTTTTTTCGTCTGTTAAGCACATCCTTTGAGGATTTCCTTACCGTGTATACCAGCCTTTAG